TCGAGGACTGGAGAAAGTGCAGGATCTGACTAGGATTTGGGCCTGTTGGAAATTCTACATTAAATAACTGGGAGTCTTATCTTCAGTAATGTAATTAATAGCTTAGGAGCAGATAGTTTGTGTTCCCTCTAACAAAGCTGTTCAGACTGATGTCTGGTTTGCCATTTGCTTCTCTGAGGTAACTCTTAGAAACAGTACGTGGAAGTGGGGGCACTTTCCCACGATGAGGGTTCATCCTGAACACTTTGATAAACTTGAACTTGCTCATGGGCAGTAGTCGTGTTAAAGAGTTGAGGGTCCGAATCTGTTCCAATTGCTGAAATCCATTTACATTCTCGTTTGGATGTTTTTTGATGTCCTTTGAATAGCAATTATGGCTTCTGTTCAGAGACATTCCATTCCATTGAAGACTGGTCTGAAGGTTTATATTAGAAAATTTTGGAATGTAGCATCAGTATTTTTAAGATTTACCTTTTAAATTGTGTGTGTGTGTGTGTGTGTGTGTGTGTGTGTGTAAACTGGTATTTACACCTGAGTCCCCATACCTCTAGAGGACCAGAGAGGACCCAATGTGGGTGATGGAAACCAAACTAGGGTCCTCTGCACCAGCAGTAATACTCTAAACCACTGATCTGTCTCTCCACACCCCTTGTTGGAGGGAGAGGGGTTGCTTGTTAGTTTCCCAGCTACCCAGACTCTCAAAATAACCACACAGAAACTGTATTAATTATATCACTGCTTGGCCCATTAGTTCTAGCTTCTTATTGGTTAACTCTTACATCTTAATTTAACCCATTTCTATTAATCTGTGTATTACCATGTGGCTGTGACTTACCAGGAAAAGTTCTGGTGTAGATGGCGGGAGCTGCCTGGCTTCTCTCTGGTTCCGCCTTCCTTTCTCACAGCATTCAGTTTAGTTTTCCCTACCTAGCTCTGTTCCCCTATAGCTCTGCTATAGGCCCAAAGCAGTTCCTTTATTAACTAATGGTATTCACAGCATACAGAAGGGAATCCCACATCCCCCCTCTCCAATTGTTAGTTTCTTTATGTATATATGTATATGCTAAACGTGTATATGGGTATGTCATGGGGGGCAGAAGAGGGCATTGGGTTCCCAGAAACTGGAGCTACTGGAGTCACAGGCTTCCTCTCCACCCCCTCATATTTATTTTAAATATAATTTTGATAAATTTTATGTAAACCATTGCATAGGATTTTTATCACTCATTTTTGCTGTGTTTTTTCATTGTAAACATTTAACACATTTATCCTAAAGAAGAACGCTCTTCTGTGAATAAACTCCCTGGTTCTTTTCGCGTGTGTGGCTTGGTTCTCTGTATCAAGTCTGCTAACAGGTTTCATCTTAGTGACTCTTAGCATCTTTAGTGCTCACGATTCTCTGGCATGTGTCTAAACAATCCAGAATGTACTGCCAACTTCATTAATGTGTCTGTACTTTGCCTCCCACACTGTCTGTGTTCAGGCTTTTCCCAGAACACCTGCCTTCCTCATGGTACCAAGTTTGCTGCTCAACCCACACAGATTTTCATGTCCATGCCCACTGCTGCGTTTTTCACAGAGCTGTCCCATGGCCTAGACTCCCATACGATTCTGATTCCTCTGTGCACTTCAGTGTCCTGCACTCAGTCCGTCTCAAGGCCCCTGTCCTTTCTGCATCTGTGGTTGTCGTGTGTTATGTGTGTTTCCTTTGAGGATAATTGCTGTGTCTTATTCTGTATCTTTCAGCAGGTATCAGGGCGTCCTGTGTGGACGTTACAGGCTCAGTGATAGATGAAATGAATTAGCGACTTGTCGCAGTAATGTTCTCTCCATCCCAGTGCTGCTTCTCCTGTGCGTTTATGACTAAAGGTTGATTCAGGTGTAAAGAAACTATAAGTCACACAATTATTGAATTTATTTATGATAGTCATAAAACAACTGTCTGTAGGTAACTAAACTACTAGAGCTTAAAATAGTTTTAAAACGTTTAATAGTGTGATAGCTTTCTTTTGTAACAAGAATATTTAAATAGGGGTATGGTGAAGTTACTCTCACAACATAGGCGATTAGAATTAGACTAATAAATGCATGACACATGGATTAATTAGTCAAATTTCAATAAAACATGTTAAAGATTTGAGCACTTATGCAAACATTTCTGGATAAGGATAGGGAATATGCAAATCTTCCATCAACACCCAGATTTATTATAAAATTTAATTTAGTTCTTTGAATAACAAGGACGATCAGTAAGAATAAACAGTGAGAATGGATGTGGTGAATAGTGTGAGTAGTGTTGATGGGAACAGGACATTTGTAGAGAAGCCTTGATAGTCCAGTGTGTAGTGCTAGAAAAATCAGCCACTGGGAAGGTGAAGGAATGCACCCACACGTTACCGTTAGTGTGAATATAGTCCAGTGTTACATAATGGTGAATATCAAGAAGGAAAACTAATAAGAAAGCAATTAAGAATAGAAGCAAAAAGGCTCCATAAAAAGTAACAGAAATAGTGTTTTCGCACAGCAGTGTTTGGTTTTATGTTTATGTTTCTCTAAGATGAACATGAACCAGGTACTATGGTGCCAACTCCTTGGAAATGCCTAAGACGGGAGAAAAGCTGGAACCCAGCATTTGAGTCTGCCTGGACACATAGTGAGACCTCGGCTCAGAAGCTAGGTCTGGAGACAGTACCGTAAGAACATGTGATACGTAGGAGAGATAGAAGCATGTTCTCTCCATGTAAGGGACACTATGAATTTAGGGTCTGGGGACAGCACCGTAAGAACATGTGATACATAGGAGAGATGGAAGCATGTCCTCTCTATGTAAAGGATACTATGAAGGAAAAAAATTCTGAGAACAAGGGGCAAGTACAAACAAACAAAACCATCGAAGAACATTAAAAATGTATAAGAAACCCAGAGCACAGATGGTGTCAAGGTAAGATATAATTTCTCCTTATCGCCAAGGTTGTCATTTATTACAGTTAATGAGCATGAAGGACACAGATTATGACACACATTATTACTTGCAGTGAGTATGCAAACCCCTGTGATTTGATATGCATCGGTAGGTACTTTCCTCATGATCTACCCTGAGGTAGCTGAGATGCGTATTTCTTTCTGTTTAACAGGTCACTTCAGAACTTAGTAGTGTTGGGGGAGGGGGATGAGGACTCTCTACAGATTTGCTCTCCCATAGTTCTACAGTTAGTGTGAGCCAGGCCTCTAACCATCTTGAGACTGAGAGCCCACTTCGGGCTGGGCTTTTGCTAGTTCCTTTTACCAGGTCTCTCCAGAGCTGCTTCTGCAAAACAGCAGCTGGCCTGCTGGGGTGCAACAGGTGGAGACCTTCTCCTCATTTTATCTTGGAAGTGGTTTCTTATTTTGTCTGCTAGAGTCTGTTTGCTAAGAAGTGAACAGGATACAGCCCATATTTGAAGAAAGAATTGCCCAGGCCATAAACACTGGAAATTAGATTCTTTTTATATTTTTCTTTTTTCCCGAGACAGGGTTTCTCTGTGAAACAGTCCTTGACTGTTCTGGAACTCATGCTGTAGACCAGGCTGGTCTTGAGCTCATAGATCTGCCTGCCTCCACCTCCCAAATCCTGGGATTAAATGTGTGCGCCACCACTGGCCAGCTGGGAATTAGATTCCACTTGTTAATATACAAATGCATTCACTATGGCTTTGTGTAATAGGCTTTCTTTTAAGTCACCAACCAGCTCCTAAAACCATGACACGGAGACTTTGTATTAGTTAAGAAGGCTTAGCCTTATCTTAGCTCTTATTTTAATCTTTCTCTTTCTCTACATTTTGCCACGGGGCTTTTTAGTCGGAGACTGCTTGTTCATTTCTCAGCCTCCCAGACCCGAATAATAACACAGAAACTATATTAATTACAATACCGCTTGGTCAATAGCTTAGGTATATTTCTAGCTAACTCTTACATCTTAAATTATCCCATTTCTATTAATCTATGAAGCACCACGAGGCTGTGGTGCCTCTAGGTAAGGTTCTGACTGGTGGCTAGTGGCTTTGTCCTTCAGCATCTACATGGTGTCTCCCTGACTCCACCTACTTTGGATCCCTGTTCATATTTCCCACCTAGCTTTATTCTACTAAGCCATTGGCTAAAAAGCTTCTTTAATAACCAACCAATGGTAATAAAACATATTCATAGCATACAGAGGGGAATTCCACATCAGGGATTTTTCCTTCTTCCTTCTTTCCTTTCATCTTACTTTCCTGCTTCTTGTGCCTAGTTGACTGTCAGCTGCCTGGCCTCTGGTTCCAGGTGTGTCCTTTCTCTTCTCTCTTCTCTCCTTTTGCCTAGATTTCTCTTCCTACTTAATTCTCTGCCCTCCAGCACCACCTGTTTCTCCTGCCTAGCTACTGGCTGTTCAGCTTTTTATTAGACCAATTAGGTGCCTTAGGCAGGCAAGGTGAAGCAAATGCAACAGATCCTTCCATAACTAAACAAATGTAACACAGTCTTACATAGTAAAAATAATATTCTGCAACATAAACAAATGTGACGCATCTTTGCCTAGTTAAACAAATATTCCACAACAGCTTTGTGGATTTATTTTTTAATAGCAAGAAAGCAGAAATTATCACAGACACCAAGGAATACACACTGCTGCTGTTTCTGCATTGAGAATGATGGAGACAGTAGCGACTCCAGGCGTTCTCAGCCCCGCATTAGACTGTTCCAGCCTTCCTTGGCTCCAGAGTATGTAACTTTATTGCTACTTAAGAATGTTGATGCTTACTTACTAAGACAAGATGGACTCAGAGAAGTTTAGTGATCTGTATGTGGATTCTATTTATAGGTAAGGAAAATGGGTTACTAAATGTTCTGTTTTAATAGTAGTAGAATAGAACAGCAAATTTTTGTTTATCATAAGTTTGGGTGCTTCATCCATGCCCAGCTCTCTGCCCTGATAGAGACTTGGAGAGGCCATGCTGTGACTTTGTACTTCGATCTGCTTCTAGATTGCTGATCTTTCCTTACCCAACTATCTGATGGCGTCTTCACTTGGACTGCTTCCGACTCAGCTTCTAAACTCGTACCTGGGCACCACCCTGCGGACGATGGAAGACGTCATTGCAGAACAAAGTGTTAGTGGATATTTTGTCTTTTGTTTACAGGTGAGTGTAAGGCCAGGGGTTTCCCGGCTCTACCCTCTGTATTGATGATTTAAACCTGGTATTTCCTCACCACCCCTGAAGGATTTTTTCACTGTAGATAGTTTGATATTTGGATAATAGTTTTAATTTGTGGGCACCTAGAAGTACATAGATTTGGTCAGATGTATTGAATATCCATTTCAAAATGAGAAAAGAAGAATCATAAAAATAAGCTTTTTTTTTTTTTTTACAGAGACTGTTTTTAAAATCACTGCAAGTCAAGTGCTGTATCATGACTTTGTATGAAAGCTTTGCCTTCAAAAATTTTTGTAATATTTGACATTTAAGGAGTTGGTTTTTAGAAATGTTGTTTTGCTTGCTTTATTTACATGGATAAGCATGCTAATCACTTAGTGTTAAATCTTGTGTGTATCATGCCTACAGCATATTATGTGTAGTTTACTCTGTTCATTTCAAAGTACGGTGAAAATTCTGGCATAGAATGCGTTTCCAAGTTTTCTTAAGATAAATTAAGTATTATCTTGTTTTCTTTTCTAGAACTTAGAAGTCTGTCTAAAATATTTTAAAAATACTGTGTTAGAGTGAAATTCCTCACTGGTTTGCACATTTTCATTGTTGAATTTTATATTTTTATGCTGTCTTTGTAGATTACTTTACTTCAATCATTAGTGCTTCCAAAGACTATAGAGCCATCTCTTTCCCATAATTTGTTAACCCCTTTGTTTGAGCGGGCTTATTTAAACATAAAGTACATTGCAGAAAGGAAAAGACGCACAATTCTTAGCTCAGACAGTTATAGCGGCTACAGCGATGCTGTGGGTTGGCGTTGGTCTCGGCTGCAGCTCAGGTTGTTTCAGCAAGGATTTCATGCCACTGGGTTGTAAAGTGGTGGCGGGGGCGGGGGGGTCATGGTGGTGCCATTGGCAAGGGAAAGGTGAAGCTTAGGGTACAATTAATAGAGCAAGTACGCTTGACAGATTCTCTCTGTGCTAGAAATGAGCCACAAATAATTTGCTTCCTGGGTTTTACAGCCAACAGCCCAAGGAGAGCAAGCTCATTGGAAAACTGAGACATTCCCTATGTCTGTCCTTGTCCAGACGTCCAGCATCTCTCTCCTCTTGCTCATGCTATGTTTCTAGTCTCTCTATCCAGAACTCCACTCCCACAGAAGTCCAGGTTTGATCTGCTTTGTATGTGTTATGTATGGTCAGAGGTACCACAAGCAGATGACTAACATGGCATTCATGGTACAGACTTCTCCAGTGCTCAGCTCCGCACATCTGCGCTGCTCCTTGTCAGCTTCCTCCTCTCACTTGTCCTCTCCCGACCTCCCTCTCTGTCCTCAGTAGACTGCCTCTCTCCTTCCTGAGCGGTCAGGAGCCTCCGTGTATCTAGATCTGTTCTCCTTGATCTTCTCCCATACTCTAGCCTGCTTTTCAGTCAGTGACGGAAGAGGCGCTTGTGTTTCTGCAGAAGTCTTGTTCCTCTTCCTCCTTTTATTCTTCAGAGAGCTTTTATACCATGCTTGTTTCTTTCCTTTTTTCTTTTACATTCATTGAGATGAAGAAAGTGAATGCTTGCTGGAGAAAGCCAGTGTAAAGTATGTGTCTCCTGCCCTGCACACTGAGCTTAGCCATTTCCTATAGCTCCTGTGTCTAGTACTTACCACAAATTCATTGTGCCTTAAACAGATTTAGCATCTTACACAGCCTGTAACACAGATTCGGCTACCATGGTCTCCATTTCTTTACTTGGCATTACAGTCTACTAAAAGGTCTCAAAACTTTTAGTTTTGCAAAAATATATTATATTTCTTTAGGAGAAATAAAACAACTACAGTATTAGAAACCTGCTTTTCTAATGCCCAGATTAGATTTTATTGAACAGTGACTGCTCATTTAATGGCAAATAGCTATTTAAAACGTGTGACTTCCTACCATCTATGTGAAGCTCTTTTTATGCCACATATTTATTGAATCCATAGCCTTTACTTTTGCGTTGTTGGTAACGGCTGTTCTGTTTCTCCTCACAGATTGTTATAAGCATAGGCCTCATGTTTTATGTGGTCCATCGAGCTCAAGTGGAATTGAACGCAGCTATCGTAGCTTGTGAGATGGAACTGAAAACCTCTCTGGTTAAAAGCAGTCAGCCCGATGCCAGTGGCTCTTCCTTCTACAGCAAGAGGACCCTCACGTTTTCTGGAGGTGGAGTCAATGTTGTATGAGTCTCACAAGCTGTGGTTGTCAAGAGCTAGTGTGCTGTCCAGGCCTAGCGGTCACCTCCCCAGTGGCGGGTGCAAGTGCTGCTTGCTCAGTGTGGCACAAACAAAACTGACTAGTTTTTAAATTGCACAATTTTCTAAAATCAAGAATCATTTTCTGGGTCTGTCAATGTAGAAGCCGCTCTGGCTGCCCCTGTTAGACCTGTAATGCCAATAGTGTGCACTTTAGTGTTGTCGAATTGCTTTATTGCTGGGACTTAGGAACAGAGAAATAACCAGATATTTCTTTCTGTTTAGTATCTTTATTTATAAAGCCCATGGATAGTTGTCTGCATCTGTCTTCAAAGAGGAGTAAAGTCTGCAGTCCTGCACGGATCCTTGCTGGATGCTCTTTGATTAGGTGGTTTTTCCAGAAGGAGTAAACTGATGTTTTTGTTTTTGTTTTATTTTTGTTGTTGTTCCCTTGTTTGTTTTAAGCAGGACAACTTTACTTCATTTTCTTTGCTTATGAGAAAATAAGTGTATTTCAGTTGAATGTATGTTATGAAGCATTATATCATTGTGGGTCTTTACACTTTTTCATATAAGCTTAAATCCTACATTGTGGGACTGAAGTGCTCTTAAGATTCCTTTTTGTTTCCACTGTGTTATATGCAAAGCAAAAGGGAAATGATTTAGTGGGTGGTGGCTCAGAAGAAGAACCCACGTGCTTATTTCTTTCTGTTGTTTCACCGTTAGACCTCATCAAAGGGCTGTGTGATTAGCACTCTTACTAAACCATTTTCCCTTTTTATATTAATAATTAGGCTTTGAAATAAAAATTATTCCTACAAAATGATGGGCTTACCATCTCTGAAGTTGTTGTTCAGGTGGCCTTGTTTAGTCAAAACGCCTTGTTAGACAGAAACAAGCTTTAAAATCATGTATATAGCTCCATTAAAGTTCTTATATATTTGTCCCCATAGTCTTCAGCTTTAAAACTATAAACATATTATCACAATGCCCATGTTTGTGTTGTCTGCTGCGTTACTGCTGTTTGATTTGGGGCTTTGGTATTCCTTTTCCCTGATAGGACTCAGGAATTCTGAAATGTGAAATTCTCGCAGTTCTTCTCATAGCACGCGTGTTTACTAACGGCACCCATGACTGCAGAAACAACAGTCCACATGGATTCGCACGGCGTGCGTTCACTATTCAGCTTTATTTTGAAAGTAGTTTAATTTTGAACTTAACCGCTAGTTGATTTGGTTACAAATGAGACTGTAGAGATACAGGAACATTTTCTGTTAAGTTTTTCATTTTCCCGACTTTTCCGGCTCTCAGAGCTCTCTCCTCTGCCTTTCCCTTGCAGTAAAACCTTTGCCCTGTTTTCTGCTGACCTACGGAGTAATCCTTTGCAAGCAGATTTTCCAGTCTTATGCTAGAGATGAATTTGATCATGTTGTTGTACAAGATTTTGTCCTATTCAAGTTGTTTTCTCCCCTTACTTATGCCGTGGTGGGAAGCACTGGTCTACAGCACGTGACTGGTAGAAAAATAACTGTATACTTTGAGACCCCGTTGCTTATTTTGGTTTTAAATTTTGTTTTAGTTTGACCATCCCAGTAAAGGAAATATTTAATTTATTCTTTTAGGGAGGACGTAGCACCATTTTTTCTTGTATTTCCCATTAGTTATTTTTTGTTAAAGGAATCTTTATGTAAGATCGCTGCTTCCGTGCCTGTGTTACAATTCATGCATTCTGTTCACTGAGCGTCTGTGACTTGGACAACTTCACCAAATGAGTGTCCTTTGGTGGTGTGTAATGAGTTCTTCCAGATGTTAACACTTTCCTTGGGATTTGTATTAAATATGTAAAGGTAAAAAATACTTTTCTGTATTCTGCCAATCATAACTTTATATAATAAATCATCAACTTTTGTAATACTATGGACTGACCGTTTCTAAAACACTACGCTGACTGTACTTTCCCAGGTCCCAGTAACAGCAGCCCATTTCCCCATCACTGTGACAAGTGCAGCGCGGCTCTGCCGTGGTCGCCCTGCCTCTGACCCTGGTTGTCGGCCGTGTTTTCCTGCTGGGTCCATACCCTCAAGCTGTATGTATGTATGAAGTGCGTGTTCACAGGTAATGGAATGCTGCACTTCTTTTGCACTGGCTCACTACAGTCTGGAATTGCTTTATATTCGTCTGGAGTCCACCCAGTTTCCAAACTGGTGAGAGTTTTGTTCTCTTTTCGCCGAGATTGCCACTTTGACAAATTTGCATTACCTCTTTCTAAAACCAAGTTTATACTGACTGTGATTTTTATGTCATTTTTATTTGATCATCTGATTTGTGAATTATTGAACTCTGTACTGTTGATGGAAAGTCCCACCACCAAGTCTGTCGTTAGAATGCTCATTTCGAGTTTGTGTTTGGAAGTGGCTGGATTTGCAGAGTCAGCCATACTCACTCCGATGCGCCGTGGCCATCTGCTCACGTCCACGGTGGCATCCCCCTTGTGTGTGACTGCCAACAGTTTGCTCCCGCGAAGCTGTTAAGGTCAGTGTTTGTTTGCCCTCACTGTGAACGAGCTAAATGGCTAAGGTGTGCACGTCCCCAGCCTCATCTGTATTTACCTTCCTGGGGAAGTTACTAGGACTGAAATTTGTTGTCCGCGAGACTATGTTTCCGGTTCTTGAAAGCTGTTAGGCGTGTGCCACGTTGGTACAAATAAATCCTTACTGTGTGGCAGATGCCGCTTACAGAGAAGGGTCATTTGAGGAGAAGAGGTTTATTGTGAAGCCGGACAACTGTAACTGGTTGACGGCCTTGGTGCTGAGATTTTGTTCCAGCTGACGGTAACTCCCAGGCTCTGAACAATACTCCATGTAATTCTGTCCAGCTTCTCAGATTAGACTTTTCTGGTTTCTCTTATAATAAGGTAGTTAGCTTAGATATTTTTAAAGGTCATTATTTCAAGCTGAAAAGTTGAAGTGGGGAGAGGAATTATTTTCATAGGATATTTACAACTCAGGAGTTAAACGCACACATTGAACAGACACTGTTGACTTTGCCCCTGAATTATAACCTGGTACCTGTGACCTGCGAAGTGATTGCTGCGAGCCGTTCCCCAAGGCGGTCGCGGTTTACAGCAGACAGTTCTAACAGTGATGTAGCACAATGTCTTGAAACTTGGTATCCCACATCACTTGTGTGCCTAAGAAAATAAAAGGAAATGTTTTATTTTTCTTCTCTCTTCTCTTCCTTTCCCATGGTTGTACAGATGTGTTTATGGGAGGGAGCAATTCTGGGGGATGTGGATGCACCCTGCTCCTAGCACATCGGCCATGCTGATGATCAGACTCATGACCTTATGCTGGGTGTTAGGGTTGTAGGAAAGACGCTGTGGACAGGTGATTCTGATTTCTCGTGTCAGCCTCTGCTCTTCAGCTCCTGTGTCATAAAATGCCTTCTGTGAATTAACACAGTATGAGTTTCTTGATGCTTTTTCATAAAGACTTCTCTTAATTTAATTTTCTGTTGACTTGTGCCAGGTTTCTCTGTCAGGTCCCTGGACAGCACCTTGTAGCCACCGTAAATCATCTTGGTAGCATCCAAAGTGATGCTTGCCTGTGTTTCCTTCTACCTGACCCAATGCTGTTTTCATCTTTTGCTGTCAAAACGGCCTGCTGAAATAGAAAATTAAAGTTTGATGATGTATGCCTATAAGGCCAACACTTCTAAAAACTGAGGCAGTGAGTTCAAGGACAAACTGGGTCACATTGCGTAATCCTGTCTTAAAAGCAACAAACAAATAAACAAGTATCAAAATCAAAATCAAAATAAAGAAGCCACAGGAGAATAATCACATATTGCAGAAGCTTAAGACTGGGTGTCACATCAGTGTCCACATCAGATAAGCACCTGGCATTGGTGGTGCTTGTCACCCAAGTCTGTGCACCACCAGACTGGATCCTCTGCTGGTTGGTACTAGAATCCGTCCTAAGCTTAGGAAAATGTGTGTTTGCAGGGTATGGACTGAACTGAGTTAAATATGAAGGCATGGCATTGTGTGTATTGTAGTGTTGAGCAAGGTATGTGCATCTGATATATTTGTATTGAGTCACCCTGTCAGGTTCAAACAAACATAGTTATCCACGTTTAGTAATAACCAGATAATACTACCGCTTTAAAAAGACTCAGAATTCCTCAAGATAATATACTGAATAGGAAACATGAATACTCACAAAATATGTAGGAAAATTGAATAGGAAAAGTGTGCTGCATATGAATAAGACCAAAAATAAACACTCTGAAAATATTTTTGATTTCTCTGTATAACGTTGGTGCCTGTCCTGGAACTTACTCTGTAGACCAGGCTGGCCTCAAACTCACAGAGATCTGCCTGCCTCCCGAGTGCTAAGATTAAAGACCTGTGCCTCCACTGCCCAGCGTGAAATTCTTATAGACTGGAACACTTTAAGCATTTAACATGCCTCAAGTTTGTGGCCAACATGAATGCTTGGAGCGTGGTCTGTTGTGAATCTCTTGCAGTCTTCTCCAAAACCTTGGCAAGGGAGGTAGGGTACTAAGTTGTTTTCCACTCACTTCTTCAGTTTGTTACTTTGATTTCAAGTTAATTATCTGGTTCTGCAGCGTCACATTCCTGCTGTGAACATGCAGCCGTGCAGCTTAGTGTGCAGCCAGTGTCTCGGTGGGCTGCAGGAGAGCGTCCATTCGTTAGATAGCCACGGGCCGGGTCTAGGAACACTGACTCTCAGGCCCACTGTTTCTCTCTCCTACCCTTGGCTGCCGGCTGAAGATGAGGCTTTGTTTCTTAGTAGACATCTCAGCAGAAAAACCAGGGCAGGGCTTTTTCTGGTGCTTGCTTGGATAGTGTCAGTGGGTGGAAGGACAGGAGTCAGAGGTCCTGGGATCATCCTGGCTTTCAAATCTGCGAGCTTCTGCAAGGAAGTTTGATATTGTGCTGCCTCTTGG